GGGGGCGAGTCGCTGAAGAGGAAGCACGAGGACGACGACGACTACGACGCTTTATGACGACGAGACTGAAGACAATGTTTTTTTTAAATGTTTCCTAACCTTTCCAAAATGTCAGTAATGAATCCTGTTCTCATTAGAATCTGTTGGTTTAGATTTTCTAGAACTTTTGTTAAAGACGCTTCAGTTCTGTGGATTTAAAATAAAGTTTATTAAAATGAAAATGAGCTTCGTCTGTTTTTAAAGGAAAACTTCACCCAGAATATAAACGTGAAACTAAAACACCAGATGAGTTCTGCTTCACAAAACGTGACAAACTATTTAACTGTGTTGGCCTCTCTCAGTAGGGGGCGCTCCTCTCCTGCTGAAGCTCTGATACTCTTCAATCACAATTATTTCTTTCTTTGTTTATGTGACTCCCACCCTCCACCACGCCCCCTAACAAAGCCTGGGTCACGTTTGTAAGCTTCCTCAAAACGTGTCGACGAGCTTCATGGTTCCTTTTGTCTGGTTCGGTGGGTGTGTGAGAAGTGTCGTCCAATCAGCAGTGACGGGTTCTGAAGACTGAAACACAAAGTTTGTCACGTTCCCGGTCTCCTGCTTTGTTTTGCCTGACATCCTGGTTACTGGGAGACTCCGCCTACTGTTGAATGATTGATCTCTCTGCCGTCACGACACACTGACGACTGACCTGACGTTTCTTACTTGTAGTTCTCTGCGTTAATTGTTGTGGCCGTTAACGAGAATAACAAATAATTTAAACTCGAGATATCCACCTTCTCAGTTGCCGTAGTTACAACACTTCACTCAAAGATCTTTAGTTTTACACATTGTCATGTTACAAATGTTTATCACTCAATCAATCGTCGTGTCCAAGGACAATCTGACAAAGTGGAGCAGCTGACCAATCAGAGCAGACTTCATCAGGAGGGGGGCTCTTAAAGAGACAGGAGCTAAAACCAAGAGTTAGAGACAGAGGCTGAAGAGAGGAGCTGCAGCGATGGACAGAACGAGGAACGTGATTCTGAACATTAGAGCATGAAAACATTTTAGAGTCATAACATTTAATGATCAACAGGAGCAGAATGTTGACTTTCAATATCAAAATATCATGAGATCTGAATCTGAAGAGAAGCGAGCGACACACTTTGACTGGGTTTTCAGTGTTTCCTTATTCCATTAAAGGGATAGTTCACTGAAAATTTAAGTTCCCTCATCATCTACTGGAAACTCCGTCATTAACACCAAGTAAAAATTCCACTGAAGTGGCTAAGCTAGCGGAAGTTAGCAACTCGTAGGAGGATCCGAGTGGAGGCTAAAAACTTTATGTAAATGACGGAGTTTCCAGTAGATGATGAGGGAATGTTGGGACTTGTGGACACTTGATGACATCACAGCAGTAGATTGGAGCCATGTTGTGTTTTTTCTGTTGGTCTCCAGTCACTCCGTTCACCCGAGACTCAAACTCTCCACCCCCCCATCATAGCGCTGAGGAGATGATGAGGGAACTTTCATTTTTCAGTGAACTATCCCTTTAAGTTTCATTCTCATTATTATTATGTGACAGATTCCCCAGAGCACACTGCAGCTTTATGATGTCATCACTGACATCACAGTGGAAACGTGTGATGGTCAGGGTGGATCCTGTATCGTGCTGGCGCCTGATCGTAGTGGTGGACCATGATGGTGGACCATGATCGTAGACTATGATCACAATAAGACTGCTTGATAAACAATATGTCTCCTCAGATACTCGACCATTACTGACAAYAACTTCTCAATTTATTCACGTTCCATCAAGCTTCAAACTGTTTCCTCTAACCAGCGCTGTAACTACTCTTATTTCTCTGACGTTCTCAGTGACACGTGGCGTCTACTGCACTTGTGTCCTGGGAGACAGATCCTTTTTAGTAGTTTCACCCTTGTTGAGTTAAGAACAGAGGACGTCACAGCTCGTTAAAGCCTATGAGACAAATTGTGATTTGTGAATATGAGCTATACAAATAAATTTGATTGAAACAGAAAGAACAGTTTAAAAATCTATCGTCAATTTTGTTTGAGCAGTTTTAAAGAAAAATTAGTGTGAGTTTCCTCCGTGTTCAAAAACACAATCACCACGGCAACAGGATATGTTAGTTCATTTTACCTTTAATAATAAAAAGAAAACCAAAATAAAAATCTCAAAATAAAAAATACATGGCAAAACAATAGACTCTTAAATGATTATGAGAATAATCATGGTTGCAAATGATGATACAGTAGATAATAATAGTAAGTCACCATAATAATAATAATCAGAAGCATAATAATCGTAATTCTATCGTTCTGGTGTTCGTCCACCAGCAGAAATCACTTCCTGTTTTAGAGACATTATGGTTAAGCATCGCACAGGCCGGGGGCGTGGCACTTGTCAAAATATTTTCACACTTAGCAAAGTTACCCCACATATGCACAACGAAATAAAGACAGAGTCACAGCTCGTACAATTCACAGCACTGCTTCCAAATAAAAACTCCAATCAAATGAAAAGTTAAAAACATGCTGTGTCGATTCTTCTTCGTCCCTTCTGATTCGCAGCTTCAGTGACGGGCGGGGGGTGGGGGGGGTGTTTGGCAGTTTTTCAGATCAGGAAATAAAAAGTTTGTCGGTTCAACGACTCGATGAATCGAGTGAAAGACGCAACAAAGAAAGTGAAAGTGAAATAAAAGTTCCTTTGACTTCTGAATTGTTGAAATAAGTAAAAACTGAAAACAACAGATCGGAGCCATCGGACAATATTAGAAATGAACTTAAAATGGAAACATGGCTGAGAGGCTGATGTGGTTGAAGGGAAACACTGGCGCCATTTGGTTTATTTAAAAAATTTCTCTTTTACTTTTTGGCTGCTGACGTTTTCATGGCACTTATATATTTTTTTATGTTTAAACAACATTTTGTCACGTGGCATCAACATTGAAGGAAAAGATGAAATTATTATGATTTGGGGACATTGATAAGGAAATAAAAAAATATCAGTTAT